AATCACTCAATATCATCCTAATACAGTACTGTTCTTTGCTTTCTATCATTTTATTATAAATCCATTTACACTGGATGAAAGGATAAGTTAACAGAGTTCTGATAAATAATATAAAACTACCTGAGACATTATATAATTGATGATTCACATTCTCTCTGACTTTTCTCTCTATCCTCTGGAATTCAGCACAATTATTAATAGAAGGAAGAGATTCTCTGATAGCGAATAATATATTAATCGAACCAACAATGTTCTTTGACAAATGGAAAAGACAAAGCTGAATGAGAGTGATATTTATCAATTCTACTCATGATGTATAGCCTGTGTAACATTATCACTACTTCCCTGTAAAGTATCTCCAGTCTATACATTTGTTGCAGGCTCATTCACAAATCCTATGGCTGCTGCTTCTGGATTATAATATTGTATGCAAAATTACGCTTTACATGCTGAATGTGGCCTTTGAGACTGGAAATAGCAAGCTTTCTATAGGCATAAAATATATTTCATCCTATTTTTATGGGATGCTTTTTCAAAGTCAACTGACACCATGTTTATTTATTATTTGTATGTGTTCTCCCATAATATGTTACCATTTATGTATTTAGAAGGAATCAAACATGAAAAATGTTGTATTCTGATAACAGTGTGAAGTTAAAGTGTATACATTGCCTGTTTACTTTACTGGTAAAAAAAGCTTTATGTTTACAGAGACAGAGGTCAATATCTCAAGATATAATTTAGACCAGCCTTTCTCAACCGGGTGTCCAGGCACCCTGGGGTGCCCTTAGGTTTCTTCAGAGGTACCTTGGCAAAATGTCTAAAAATTGCCCAAAACTTGTATACAAGCCAGCGGGTGGAACAAGGTTGCCTTTTAGTTACACAAAGCCACAGGTTTTCATTGTGCACCATTACGACCTTCTAGCTGCCAGCATCCTGACAACCAATGATATCATCAGTTGATAAAGAGAATGTCAGCTGCCTGCACAGCATCCTAATTTGACCCTCCCCTTCCCCTTCTTCTTTCCATCAGTGCTGGCATAGTTGCCAACATTTGAAAAACATTTTTAGGGACACTTTTTTTTATTGTATGTCCAGAAAGCCAGTGTAGGCAGAGCGATATGTAAATTAGGGGTGGGAGACATCAATTGTGGGTGTGGCTTGGAGAAAAAAACATGGTGGCACTGTGGCAATAAGTGGGTGTGGCTTAAATTGCTCTAAATGTTGAGCATGGTGTAAAGGGGGTGTGGTTAAATAGAGTCTGAGATTTTCTTGGGCTCCCTAATACAATTTTACTCTCCACCCCAACATTCCAAAAAAAAAACAAATAAACACACACATAGACTTATCTAAAAAAAAGAAAAACTTTAATAATACAAACATAAAGAACTGGTCCACACTCAGTGATCGGTTGCTAGAGGTTACAGTTCATTACCTCTCACTGATTGGTTGCTAGAGGTTACAGCACATTACCTCTCACTGATTGGTTTGCTAGAGGTTATAGCACATTACCTCTCACCCATTGGTTGCTAGAGGTTACAGCACATTACCTCTCACTGATTGGTTGCTAGAGGTTACTGCTGTTAGTACATGGGAGGGTCAGAGACTGCAGACATGGCACAAGGAATGGTTAGAGTACCGTATGCTCCACAAATATTACAGATGCTCCACCACAAATATTACAGTATGCTCCACCATACTGCACCCCCCCCCGCACACACACACATGCACACACAACTCTGCATACCCCCCCCCCCCCCCCACACACACACTTACACACCACACACTCAAACCACCCCCCCACACCCCCACGCTGGTCATCGGGTCACGTCCGACTCGTCTGCTCAGGCTAGCTGCGCTGCACCACCTCTGTCAAATGATTCTCTGCTGATTGGTGTGTCTTTCTTCTCTGCCGGATCCCCACAAACACCGCTCCTGCTGCATCTTCCTCAGCATGTGCTCACGGCAACTGATGAGGCAAAGATGGGCTGGTCACCCCTCAGCTGGCCACACCTCCTCAAATAGCTGACCAATCAGGAAAAGAGAGGCCGGCATCAGCAGCCATCACATGACTTCTGGTGATCATTGCTTGGCAGGGGGAGGGCAGGGGGATGGTCTCTGACCAGTCTGCTGGACACTGTGGACAGCAGCGATCGCTTTGGACAAAAATAATAAATGCTCACTTTTTTACCTGCAAAAAAATGTGCATTTATCATTTTTGTCCAAAAAGGTGAACTTATCTTTTAACCAATTTAATACCGGGCAATTTTACACCTTCCTGCCCAGGCCAATTTTCAGGTTTCAGCGCTCTCACACTTTGAATGACAATTGCGCAGTCATACAACATTGTACCCAAACTAAAATTTTATCACTTTCTTAACACAACTAGAGCTTTCTTTTGGTGGTATTTAATCACCACTGGGGTTTTTATTTTTTGCTAAATTAACAAACAAAGACCAAAAATTTTGAAAAAAACACACATTTTTCTTTGTTTCTGTTATAAAAGTTTGCAAATAAATAGTTGTTCTTCATAAATTTAGGCCGAGATGTATTCTGCTACATGTCTTTGGTGAAAATAACCCAAATTAGGATGTATTATTTAGTTTGTAGGAAAGTTATAGAGTTCACAAACTATGGTATAGATCTGAATATTGATCAATCCTGAAGTACTGACAGCCAATCTAATTTCTTGAGGTCCAAGAATGTCAGAACAGTACAGATATCCCCAAATGACCCCTTTTTGCAAAGTAGACAGTCTGACGTACTTCATAAGAGGCATGGCGAGTTTTTTGAAGTTGTATTTTTTTTGTTATAATTTTTCGGAAAATGAAAGAATTAAAAAAATTAGTTTCACTATTTTTTTTTTTTACATATTGGCACCAGTGCAGTACAGCGTCATCATATAACTGGCATGGTGGTGATCAGGGACACTGACTGGTGACAGTATGAAAAAAAAATATTTTTTTCTTTAATTTTTTTTTTTATTTTTTATTAATTTTTTTTCTTTTTTTTTAGATTTTTTTTCATATTTCACTATGACCAAAGTAGTACAATGTTACCATAGTAACATTGTACTACTTTAGAGAAGTGATCAGTATTTTTTTTTTTTACACAATTTGCTTATAGCAAAGAATTACTTTGCTATAAGCAAGCATTCACCTGAATGACATCGATTCATTCAGGGTTTTTTTTTTTTTTTTTGTGCTTAGCTGTGATTTGGCCACAGCTAATCACATGACATGTGCATGTGATTAGCTGTGACCATTCACAGCTAGACACTAGTATACAATGGATGGCATGAATGAAGCCATCCATTGTATACAACTGTCATGTGACCTGCTGTGATTGGTCACAGCAGGTCACATGGTACTGGCAACGGGGGCCGGTACTCAGATCTGTCATTGGCCGTGTCTGAGGTACACAGCCGGTGACAGATCGCGCCGCTGCATGGCTCTGCAGGATCGCAATCTGAGCATGTGTGGGAGGACGCCATATGGCGTCCACTCGGAACGCTGATGACATTTGCCGGCCGCCATTCGGCCATAGGGTGGGCGGCAAATGGTTAAAAATTCACCTAAGCTGCATTTCAAATTTATTCTGGCCATTGAAATGAATAAATGCTCAAGTGCTAAATGTGCTCCCTAGGGTTTAGGTGCGTCTAGATGCGTTTACACACATTTAGATATGTTTGGTGGGTTTTTCTATGTCCAAAATTCCTCTTGTGAACACAATTGTTCTGCATTCCTAGGAGGAGCCTTGACGTCCTGTTAATGCCGCTGCTCCTAAACTCCTCTAAAATCTATGGATAGCAGAATCTTTTGTATTGCAAGGATTTTGGAAGAAATGCACAACATTTGACAATGCACAGAGCGGATAGCAGTTGTTTAAGTTTTGCATGTTTATGTTCATTTTTTAATATATTTTCTTACCTAAAAATGCAGTATCATGTCTTCATATCTATCATAAGCTTCAGAAACTTTATTCTCTGGATAATCTGAACTGGGTTATCATGTGCATCTTCAGTTCAATTACTCCAATAAAACACATTATAAAAAGAAAAAAGAGAGAGTCTGAAAGTAAACAGGTTTTGCTGTAATAATGCTGTGTGACGCCAGGATCACATGAACACCCTGCAGTAAATGTACAGCTTTTTGTTCTGTTATTTTGCTACACTACATTGTCAGATTGTATATGGAAATAATGTTCTACGCAAGCCTATCTTTTTCAGGTGCTGTATTGTCTGTCAATGTACTGTGGCTCTCTTACACCTTTGCTGTGTGCATATGGCTCCTTCAACTTTAGAGCAATTGCTGGAATACCCAGACGTTTTCTCACTGCTTTCCTTATACTGAAAATCCAAATAAAAAACATTAAAGTGATATTAAAGGAGGATTTTTTTCTTGTTTAACCACTTCCGCGCTGCACTATAGAAAAAATACAGCTACAGGGTGGCACGGGTGCGCAAAATCACATACAAATATACGTGATTTTGCAGTTCCGGGTAGGGGCCTCCATTCGGGCCCTTAGCTGTCAATCATTCCTCACTGACGCCCGGTGATTGCCGAGTATCTCCGACAAGGGAGAGACCTGCGTATAAACAACACAGATCTCTCCCCTGTCAGCTCATGCACACTGCTTTGTATGGCTCTGCATAGCAGAGCCATACCAAAGCAGTGTGCTTACAGTGAAGTACACACACAGCCCAAGTAGTGACACAGCACACAGTTAACCCTTTGATTGCCCCACATGTTAACCCCTTCCTGCCCAGTTCCATTAGTACAGCGTCAGTGCTTTTTATTAGCACTGATCACTGTATTGGTGTCACTGGTTACCAGGGGCAGACTGACCATTTGGAAACTCGGGCACTGCCCGAGGGCCTGGGGTCAGTAGGGGGCCCCATGAGATGCCCCTGGTACCTTTTTCATAAGCTTTTTTGAGTTTGGGCAAGGACACAGGGGCCCCATGATCCCCTATTGCCCGGGGGCCTTATGAGTTTTCAGTCCGCCCCTGCTGGTGACACCAAGTCAGTTCCCCCAGTGTCAGAATGCCCGCCACAGTCCAGCAGTCCCTCAGTCCCACTATAAGTCACTGATTGCCGCCATTACTAGTAAAAAAAAAATTAAATTCCAGTACATATACCGCCATTTGTAAACGCTATAACTTTCATGTAAACCAATTAATTTATACGTCTTGGGGTTTTTTTTTTTTTTAGCAAAGACATGTAGCAGAATACATTTTGGCCTAAATTTATGACTAAATTTTTTTTTTACTGGACATGTTTAATAGCAAAAAGTCCAAAATATAATTTTTTTTTCTCTAAATTGTTTTTTTGTTTATAGCGTAAAAAATAAAAACCGAACAGGTGATTAAATTCCACTGAAAGAAAGCTCTATTTGTGGGAAGAAAAGGAAATAAATTTAATTGGGGTGCAGCATTGAATGACCACGCAATTGTCACTTAAAGTAATGCAGTAATCTCAAAAAATAGCTTGGTCAGGAGGGGGGGTAAATCCTCTGGACAGCAAGTGGTTAAAAATAACAAACATGTTATACTGCTCTGTGCAATGGTTTTATACAGAGCAGCCCAATCTTCCTCTTCTCGGGTCCTTTGCTGGCACTCCTGGCCCCTCCCTCCTCCCTAGTACCCCCCCATAGCAAGCAGATTGCTATGGGAGCACCTAAGCAGGCTCACTCCTGAGCCACTGTCCTGTATGTCCATTCACACTCGTAGCATGGCTTGGCCTTATCCCCTGCTTTCTCCTCATTGGCTCACTGGCTGTGATTGACAGTAGCGAGAGGCAATGAGGGGGGAAAGGCCCTGGAGGGCCAAGGCGCTCATGCACATCACTGGATTGGATGGGCCCAGGTACGTTTTGGGGGGGGGGGGGGGGGGGAGCTGATGCACACAGAAGGGTTTTAACCTTCATGCATAGAATGCATAAAAGTAAAAAGGCTTGAGCCTTTACAACCACTTTAAATATACACCTTTCATTACACGATTACTTGAGGAGCCTGCCATAATCATCTTCAGCCATTTCCTTTTACGGAGTCTTCCAATTGTACTGTTATGTTGTCATGCTGTCACATGCTCCCCTGATAAGAGAGTTGCCATGTCAATCCCAAAGGATTGCCCTAATTTGCAGGGATTTCCTCTCACTTCCTGTTTTGACTATGGAACAAGAAATGAAGGGAAGTCTCCCCAATGGGACACAGATGGCCACAAAAACTGACAGGGGTTATAACCCTCCCTTACTTTATCTAAGATAATAAAAAAAAAACAATACATTTTACCTATACTGTAGTTCTAATTTAAAAGGTTGATTTCAGAATACAAGTCTTTTTGCCACCAGCGGTACACATGGCCTTCCCATTCAAACAATACATTTATTTCATTTATTTATTTCACATTAACAGATGTCATGTGTTGTGCTTGGAGCAAAAACATTGTTATTAATATCCATGAATGCGTCTATTTTTCAAATTTAAACAGCTTATTTTCATATCCTTTGTACAGGAGAACTTTGTATTGTCTTACTACTTAAAATTGTAACTAACAAAATGACACCAAAAACCTAACATTTCTTATGGTTATCATAACAGCAATAAATTAAATGACATTCTCTTGATATTCTTTACATTAAAAATTTGTCAGAAAAGACTTCTAGTGCATTTTTGTCCATTTTTTCCCACTATGTATTGTGAGACATTTGCTGCACTCAGCTGATCTCAGCCGTTTGCAGTACAGGGAGGGGGAATCCCCCCACTGGCTTAGCAGAGAGCAGTGAAACCAAACTACGTATGTGATTCTATGAGATGTTACAGTCATCTGAGCTGCTGACCGGAAATTGCCTTCAGCACAGCGGATTTCCACAATAATAAAGTCTGCTTCCCACTGACTCTTATCATTATCGCAAGACATTTCTCTGCAATTGTTCATGATTGATCATAACTGTTGCATCCCAGGATCATACACAACCAAGTATGTGAACTGCAGTCTCTGTTGAAGTCAATGGGACTCAACAGGACTCTGTCTTCTTAGTATCTTGTAATGGAAGGTCAGTGATTAGCAGGCTACATACTAGTTCCATTGCAGTGAAGCTGAATCTGCTTAGCTGCACTGCAAGGGATTTTACCACCTCTACTGTTCTATGCAGGTAATTATGCATTCCCTTTATAACACAGATCTGGGTATATGCATGCTTGTCTTTCTTGCGGACCAATCACACACATGCATTCTAAACATTCTTGACTTCGGTGAAATTGGTTATTGATTTTACTATTTGTGAAATTTCATATCAAACAAGGAATTCTTTTGTTTTGTAGTCAGATGTTATTTTACACTGTACCTGGGAGGTATTGACTTTCACAAAAGGCTTAATGAATATGACATGCATTACATGGCACATGTCTACTCCTTCAGATTCACTAATTCCTTTTGTAGTAGCAATTTTGGTAAATCAGAGAACTACGGACACGGACTTGAGGAATACAAATGATTTATTAAAAACAGCACTGTTTTGACTCAACAAACGACTTATGCTCTCATCTGCTAAGTGAGTTATAGAAAACTTCTTACAAGCGTATATACCAGGGGTCCTCAAACTTTTTAAACAGGGGGCCAGTTCACTGTCCCTCAGACCGTTGGAGGGCCGGACTATAGTTTAAAAAAAAAAAACTATGAACAAATGCGGACACAGTACAGGAGATGACCAGAGACTGCGGACACAGTACAGGAGATGACCTGAGACTGCGGACACAGTACAGGAGATCACCAGAGACTGCGGACACAGTACAGGAGATGACCAGAGACTGCGGACACAGTACAGGAGAGACCAGAGACTGCGGACACAGTACAGGAGATGACCAGAGACTGCGGACATAGTACAGGAGATTACCAGAGACTGCGGACATACAACGGCGGGAATACTGGGCTGGCCGCTCCATAAGACGCACAGCTATTTCCCCCCAAGTGTGTCTTATGGAACGAAATAGTGCCCCATCATTGGTGTCAATGGGAGGAATAGTGCCCCATCATTGGTGTCAGTGGGAAGAATCGTGCCCCATCATTAGTGTCAGTGGGAGGAATAGTGCCCCATCATTGTGTCAGTGGGAAGAAATGTGACTCATCATTGGTGTCAGTGGGAGGAATAGTGCCCCATTATTGGTGTCAGTGGGAAGAATCATGCCCCATCATTGGTGTCAGTGGGAGGAATAGTGCCCCATCATTGGTATCAGTGGGGGGAGGAATTGTGCCCCATTGTTGGTGTCAGTGGGGGGAGGAATAGTGCCCCATTGTTGGTGTCAGTGTGGGGGGGGGGGGTAGTGCCCCATCATTGGTGTCAGTGGAGGAAAGGGATAGTGTCCCATCATTGATGTCAGTGGGAGGAATAGTGCCATCAATGGTGTCAGTGGGAGGAATAGTGTCCCATCATTGGTGTCACTGGGAAGAATAGTGCCCCATCTTTGGTGTCAGTGGGAGGAATAGTACGTCATTGGTGTCAGTGGGGGAAATAGTGCCCCGCCATTGGTGTCAGTGGGGGAAGGAATAGTGTTCCATCGTTGGTGTCAGTGGGGGGTGGAATAGTGCCCCATTGTTGGTGTCAGTCGGGGGAGGAATAGTGCCCCATCTCTGGTGTCAGTGGGGGGAGGAATAGTGCCCCATCGTTGGTGACAGTGGGGGGAGGAATAGTGCCCCATCATTGGTGTCAGTGGGAGGAATAATGCCCCATCATTAGTATCAGTGACACCAATGATGGGGCACTATTCCTCCCACTGACACCAATGACACTTAACTTGCTGACCCCTGTTCCAGCATGGTGCTGCTGCAGCCAGCAGCATACCGGGTTGCAGCAGCACCATCTGCACACTTACCTGTCAGCTGTCATGGGGCCGCTCGGCTCCGCCTCCTTGCAGGTGATTGGCTGCCTGTGTGCCTTTCCTAAGCTACAGTTCTGGCGCCCAATCACCGGTGAGGAGGGAGTGGTCGGAGTGAATGAAGGAGCAGCCCTTCCTGGACTGGATCGTCGTGGGACTGGGACACGGAGCCAGGTAAGATACAGCAGCCCCCTGCCCGCCCCTGTACTTAGTGTCCCTTCCTTGCGGCAAATATGCCCCTGCCGGCGGGCCGGATAAATGTCCTCGGGGGGCCGCATGTGGCCCACGGGCCGTAGTTTGAGGACCCCTGGTATATACCAATGATTACGTCACAAGGCATACATTTCTTCTTTCACTTTCTATTACTATCAAAAGGCTTTCTAAACTCTGCAGAATAACCTTGGTCAGCAGCTGCAGATAAGGGTCCCAGCTAAGAGCTGGTACAACATAATACTCACAGGAAATAAGGGAGGGGGTAAGATGAGCCAAAAACCTTGCTACCAGATACTGTTTGAAATGTTAAAGTTTAAAGGGGAACTCTGCAATATCTGGGTTCTACCACACTTTAAAACTATTTAATTTACTTTTCCACATTTCTATTAAATATTTATCTTCTCATTCTGGGTTATTTCATATTTCCGCTTACTGCCCTCTGAACGGTGATCCCCAGTGGAAGGCTTTTCAGAAGGAGGTATAGGAGCATCCGACAGGTATTCTTTAACCTCCTACATCCCCCTAAACACCTGTTTTCTCTCTTATATTTTATTGCCCAATGACAATTTTATGGTTGCAGGACAGTGCCACAACTGCAAATCGAGCACTCGGCTTGTGGGTGCAACACATCTTTATTGAACTCAATGAGCAAGTTGACTGGCTGTGCTGCCTGTCAAACTCTGCACCCTGAGTTGAAAATGTAGTAGTTGCAAAGTGAAGCATCACGACAGAGGCACATGTACTGTATAACCCTTGAGAACGCCCTGAGGGAGGGGCGAAACGCATTGACGCATTTTCGGTCTATAACCCCGTACGTCTGACGTCACTTCCGGTGAGTGGAATGCCATTTTCTGGGATCTGTGGAATGTCTTTCTCTGTGTAGCTGCTGCTGTATCCTGGGCTGTGATGTGAGAGTTCTGAGGAGGCAAAAATAGTTTCACTACTTGTCTGGAAGATGCTGGTTTTAAATAAATATGCCTTTTGAAAGAGAA